CTGCTTCTGGATTCAAGGCGTTTCTGGGCAGCAGGGTGCTCGTGAAGTGGCGGCTGGTTGTCATTGGCCTGCTCTGTGCGCTCGGCTTTGGTGATGATTGCTCTGCGGATGTCAGGGGTGTTGATTCCAGAAACATACATACAGGCAGTTTACGGGGGTTGTTTTAATACACCCAGTCACAATCCTACATGTCTCCTGTAGGGTCTAGTTTACGTGCATGACTGATCTGCTCCATACTGGGCAGGCATATTCAGCAGTGGAGAAGCACAGAGCTAGTGCCAATGTATGCAGTGTACTTCAAATCAAATCAAGTTTTATTTATATAGCACATTTAAAAGCGATTTTTGGTCGAGCCAAAGTGCTGCACATGTAATAAAAACACATTACTAGAATCACAATAAAATAAATATAAAAAACAAAAACACAGAATAGTCAGGTGTCATGCTCCACTCTGACTAGAAGGCCAGGGAGAAGAAGTGAGTCTTTAGTGAGGATTTAAAAAACCCTAGTGTCTCGGCCGACCTCACATGGAGGGGCAGAGTGTTCCAGAGCCTGGGGCCAGCTGCTACGAAGGCTCGATGCCCTCGGGTTTTGAGCCTGGTCTTTCAGGCACTATCAGCAACAGCTGGTCAGCAGACCTTAAAGCTCTGGCTGGGGTGTAGCGCTGGAGGAGTTCGGCTATATAGGCCGGAGCCAGCCCATTTAGGGCTTTGAAAACAAATAAAAGGATTTTAAAATCAATTCGGAACCAAATTGGAAGCCAGAATTGGGGTGATGTGGTCACGCTTTTTGTGGCCAGTCAGAAGATGTGCAGCTACGTTTTGGACGAGCTGCAGGCGTTTAATTGAGGCCTGGTCCATACCCACATACAGAGCGTTGCAATAGTCCACTACTTGGGTGGGTGGGCCCCCCACTTAGAGTTTGTTAGTTGTTGTAGGAGTTTGTTCCTGGTGGAGAACTTGCCTCTCGTCTTTTGGATGTGTTGTTTGAAACTAAGCGATACGATCTAACGTTAGTCCCAGAGAGCTGGTGCTGGTGGTTTTCAAGCATTCTTCCCAGTTTACGTCAAGCTCCTGTTTAGCCTCTCTGTTTTTGACATGAAAGCTACAGATTTGAGTTTTCTCAAGGATTGGGCGCGGGTGGTTTTCAAGATAGTAAGCAGACATATCTGAGAGGTCTCGTTCCAGGGTTGACTCTATTTCTTAGTAGGGCAATGATCAGAATCAGAATCAGAATACCTTTATTAGTTCCACAGAGGGGAAATGTGCAGCGTTACAGCAGGAAAGAGCCACAGACAGCTTAGTGTTGCATATCTTACATGCGTTAAAAAAGTACTAAGTTATAATATAATAAACAATATGCTAAAAAAGTACTAAGTTATAATATAATAAACAATATGCTAAAAAAAAAAAAAACTAAAAAAGTTATATAATCTTCAAAAATACAGATCAAAAACAAAACAAACAACAAATCAAACAAATCAAACAACAAATCAAATCTACAAATCAAATCCTGTAGCAGTGATAGTAGCTTTCTTCCATATGGCCCGAATTAGCTGGGTCTGGAGGCATGTGGTGTACATTTTCATAAGCCATTGTTTTGCGGCTGGGAGTAGGTGTGTCACAAACGAGCTGAGGACCAAATGCAGAACACGGGAAACCAGGGATAGTCGGTAACCAGCTTTATTGAAGGCAATAGGCTGGTAGGAGACAAAACGGCAGATAGTAGGCAAAGGGCTGGTCGGGGACAGGCAAGGGTTCCAGGAGAAAGCAGAACAGGAGTTGCAGGTACAGAACGGGTCAGGGAGCAGGCGAGGCAGGCTGGTCAGGGACAGGCAGGGTCGAAACCCGGGAGAGCAATCTGGAGGGTGATGCGGGAAAGACTGGCATGCTGCAAAGTACGATCTGGCACTGAGGTGAAAGTGAAGTGGGCCTAAATACTAATGGAGCTGATGGGTGTAACAGAGTGAGAAAGAGAGACAGGGTGTGACTACCAGGTGACTAAGGAATGTTAATGCGGAAAATAGGTGAGTGAGAAAGCAGACTGTGACAGAACCCCCCCCTTAATGGACGGCTCCTGACATCTAAGAAAATTCTAGGAGAGAGAAAAAAAAAAAAGAATTAAAGAAGAATCAACAAAAACCCTACAGACACAGGGTGGAAGGTGGAGGTATGGGAAAGGTTAGTACTCATCTGAGAATGCTCTCTCGGCCTCTCCCTCCTGTAAATCCTCGTCCTCCTCGACTGATGATGCTTCCCCCTCCTCCTCGACGAAGCCTCTGGTCTGTAGCGGACGAGTGCCCCCTGGCTTAACGCCTGGTTAAGCGTGGGTCCTAGAAGACTGCTCCGGGTAACGCAGGTGAAAGTCTCGGATGAGTTGAGGGTTGAGGATATGACAAGCAGGAATCCACTGCCTTTCCTCAGGACCATAGCCCTCCCAGTCCACCAAATATTGAACCCCTCTTCCTCTGCGACGGGAACGGAGTAGACGACGAAGGGTGTAGGTAGGACCCCCATCGATCATCCTAGGGGGTGGTAGTGAAGGGGCGGCGGAAATCATAGGACTCTCCCGGACAGGTTTAATCCTAGAAACGTGGAAGGTGGGATGGATCATCATGTTCCGGGGCAAACTCAGTCGAACTGCTGCAGGGTTAATGACCTTGACAATCTTGAAGGGTCCAATAAACCTGGGTACTAACTTCTTAGACTCCACCCGAAGGGGAATGTTCTGAGTGGAAAGCCACACCCTCTGGTCTACCTGGTAAACAGGTGCCTTGGTGCGTCGGCGGTTCGCTGATGTGGCGTACCGGTTAGCAGACTGAAGCAGAGTTGTTCGAGTCTGCCTCCAAGTCCTCCGACAACGTCTGATGAAAGCCTGGACAGACGGACAGGTAACCTCCTTCTCCAATGCAGAGAACAATGGGGGTTGAAAACCGTATGCACACTGAAAAGGGGAAAGACCAGTAGCGGAACTGATGAGGGTGTTGTGGGCATACTCCACCCACAGGAGTTGTTTTGACCAGGTCGTTGGATGATCGGAAGCCATGCAGCGGAGAGTGGTCTCCATCTCCTGATTCTTCCGTTCGGTCTGGCCATTGGCCTGTGGGTGGAAACCGGAGGTGAGACTGACCGTCGCCCCGATCAGTTCACAAAACTCCCTCCAAAACACAGAGGTGAATTGGGGCCCCCGGTCGGAAACCACATCAGTCGCCAGTCCGTGAATACGAAAAACGTGGAGAAGAATAAGTTCTGCCGTCTCCTTAGCTGACGGGATCTTAGGCAGGGGTACGAAATGAGCCATCTTACTAAACCAATCTACCACCGTCAAGATGGCAGTATGTCCGTGGGACGGTGGTAGACCAGTCACAAAGTCCAATGAAATATGTGACCAAGGGCGACGTGGGACCGGTAATGGATGAAGGAGGCCAGCTGGCGCTTGGTGAGATGGTTTGTGCCGATTGCACACAGGACAGGCGTTCACAAACTCCCGGGTGTCAGCCTCCAGCGTGGCCCACCAGAACCGTTGTAGGACCATCCCTCTGGTACATTGAATTCCAGGTTGGCAGGAAAGTCTGGAGCTGTGAGCCCACTGAAGCACCTCAGCCCTCAAAACCTGAGGCACAAACAAACGGTTGAGAGGACAAGAACTAGGACCGGGTTGGTCCACCAAAGCGGTCTTAACCCTCTCCTCAATCTCCCAAGCGAGGACGCCGATCACTCGAGGAGCAGGAAGAATAGTGTCCGGAATACCCCAGGTGTCTCCCTCCCTCCCGAACTGCCGGGACAGAGCGTCGGCCTTCACGTTGCGGGAGCCCGGGCGGTAGGAGAGAAAAAAATTAAACCGGGTGAAAAATAACGACCACCTGGCTTGCCGGGAATTCAGTCTTTGTGCCTACCTGATGTATTCCAGGTTCTTATGGTCGGTCCAAACCTGAAATGGTTGTTCTGTCCCCTCAAGCCAATGTCGCCACTCCTCCAACGCCAACTTGACTGCTAGAAGCTCCCGATTCCCCACGTCATAGTTTCTCTCCACCGGACTCAATCTCCTCGAAAAGAAAGCACAGGGGTGGAGCTTCTGGTTCTCACCAGAACTTTGCGACAGGATGGCCCCCACCCCTACGTCAGAAGCATCCACCTCCACCACCAACTGACCAGCGGGGTCTGGTACTTGCAGGATAGGAGCCGACGTAAAC